GTCCGGCTGCCCCCCCTCCTCTTCGGTTTCCCCCTGGTCCTCCTCCTGGCCGTTCGAAAAAAACAACAGGCAGGAGCCGCCGTTAGCGGCAGTCACGGCGGTAGCGCTAGGCCCAAGCTGGAAGGGAAGCGCGGCGCCCAGTCCTTCCGGCCCTCTTCGCTACCCACGCCCAACCGGCCCCCCTACGGTCGCCCCGCTGCTCCCGCCGAGCCGAACGGACCTGCTGCTCGGTATTCTCCGCTCCGGCCGCCGCTGCCGCCTACTGTGCGCTGCGCGGAGCCGACTGAGTCACGGAGAAGAATTTGCAATCTGGCTCCGAGAGCCCGGCTGCCCGCGTTCCCCTGGGTCCTAGAGCCTCCTCGCCACCCAAGGTGGCTGGTCCCCTCGGCCGCGCCACGGGCAGGCTGGCTAACGCAGCCCAGGGAGGGAAGCATCAAAGCCGAAGAGAGGCGGCTGAGCAACGCGCGCGCATCTCTTCCTTCCCAACCGAGGAAGGAGGCTTACAAAGTCGTTTGAACGAGTGCCACCTATGTACACCATAGTCCTAGCCGTGGGACTCGAGCAGTGAGACTTCTTGCGGCAGCCTCACTTGAAGAGAAGGCATTTCTTCTAATGCCAGCCCTGTGGTCTTTCTCCCACAGTCTTTAATTTTATTAAACGGAAATTAGTAATTCAGTCCCGCTCGGGAAACCACTTTTCTTCTGTAGAGTGCTCAGATTTCCAGCTCTTTTCTGCACAATGCAATCCTCTGCTCAGAAATGGGCCACATTTGCGTTCAGTGTGACCTGCTTCCAGGGAAGATCATAATAATAATTTATTAAATTTATATGCCGCCCAACTTTCAGCAACTCTGGGTGGTTACAATTGCTAAAAACGTTTAAAAACAACAATACAAAAATACAAAACAGCACAAGACAAAGCATTTCAGCCTTATACTAGGAGTTTGGGGGAAATTATCACAGAGCTTGGACCTTGATGCATTTCAGGTTACTGAAAACTATCCCTGAGGTAAAGTGCTTTTCTCTGGCTATGTTCACGTCATGTCTATCTGTAGTCTTTTTAATCATGATCTATTCAACCTGAAGTTCTCTATTTGAATCAAACAACACAGTATGCTATGTACAGGTAGTCCTTGTTTAGCGACCACAATTGGGACCAGTAATTCAGTTGTTAGGCAGAGGTTGCTAAGTGAAACTGCAACTGTGCTTATTATCTTACTTCAGCTTTCCTTTATTTTACAGACCTGCAAAGGTTGTAAATGACAGGATTGGTTGTAAAGTTATTTTTTCATCACCGTCATAACTTGAACGGCCACTAAACAAGGCAGTTGCTAAACGAGGACTACCTACATTAATAAATTTTACTTTATTTTGGATGGATTTTAAAATGATTGAAATCCATTTCTTAATAATATGTATTATAGAAATACTTTTTTGTATTTTTTATTAGCTTGCTAGATTTATATCTCACCTTTCCTTCAGGAGTCAGTGGCATAGCTCTCCTCCCATTTTCCCCCACAACCCAGTAAATTAGGTTGGGCTGAGACTGGTGAGCCCAAAGTTTCCTGGTGACCTTCCAAATTGCTAATTGTCAAATTGCCCCTCCCCCCGTCATCTTGAATGTTTTTTAGTATTTATGTATAGGGTTGTTTTTAGTCAGATTTTAATTGATTGATTTTAATTATTTATATGGTATTGTTTTTTAATGGCTTGGGTTTTTGGTTTTAATTGTGAACCACCCAGAGTCACCCGTTGGGGGAGATGGGCAGCATACAAATTTAATAAATAAGGTGGACTTGAACTTGAGTCTCCATAGTGCCAGTCCACTGTCGCACATTCAGACCCAATGAGAATTCTGCCTTTCAAGTCTAGAGAGCCATCAACGCATCTTGTATATGTTTAAACCTCATAGACTAATATAAAATCTATGCTTTTGTTAGGAAAACAACTTTTACTTTAGACATGCAGCTGTTTCCCCCCTTTTCTGTTCTGATGGAAAACAGCCTAATAAAATATCCATAAGGAAATTGGGAATGCTGTACTTATTTTAAAGGATGGTCAAAAATATAATTACATGCTAATTGTGTGTGTGTGTGTGTGTGTATTTTTATATCTATCTATCTATCTATCTATCTATCTATCTATCTATCTATCTATCTATCTCTTCCTACTACCGCACACACTCACACCTGCAGTTCTTAAACTTTTATGTTAAAGGATCCCATAATAACAATTTTAAGGAGGGGACCTTATAATAAGCAATCTGGACCTTAAGACGTAGCTTAGCTTTTACAAATGTTATTCATCCCATAGTATTTTTGGAGTGAAGTCAATCTGGAGTATCCACATTTAGAAATGTTACAAAGCTTCAAAATGACATTTTTCTGAATTTGGAATGAAGAGTGGGGTGAGGGGACTGTATTTGTCAAGGCATGTATTTTTAAAAACTGATTTGTTGAATAGAGAAAAATTGTTGCAAGATGAACTTTGTTACAGACACGCGTGTTGTTTCCAAGGGGCAGGAAGATGAAAATGGGTGCTTGTTATGGGGATTTCTGGCAGAGAAAGGTCACCTACTGATTACAATGGTACCTCGGGTTACGAACGCCTCTGCTTACGAACTTTTCGGGTTGCGACCAGCTCCGGCCGCAAAAATTTACCTCGGTTTGCGAACTCCGCCTGGGGGTACGAACCGGATCCGCGGCCATGTTCCGCCCGTGCCACGCAGTCCGCAGCCATGTTCCGCCCGGCCGCGCAGTCCACAGCCATGTTCCGCCCGGCCGCGCAGTCCACGGCCGTTTTTCTGCCCTGCCGCACGGTCCGCGGCCGTTTTTCCACCCTTGATGCGTGGTCCGCGGCCGTTTTTCCGCCCTTGACGCGTGGTCCGCGGACACCAGAACGGATTAACGGTAATTACATTGAACCTTATGGGAAAATTTGCTTCGAGTTGCGAG